AACATCTTTTTTGCTAAATTGGTTCTGCTTTTATTCCAAATTATGAATAGACAGAAAGGGCCGTCTTTCCCTTTTGGCCCAGTGAATTGTGTGTAAACTGACCTGCAGAGACAGGCAGGGTAGCTGCTCTAGGGTACTGGCTTATAAATTGAGAGATCAAAGTCAGCTTCTCCGTTTGTGAGGACAGAGAGTTTTATAGTTTATAAATGTTAAGTTCACCTCTGTGGAGCAATCATAAACTTCAACTATTATTTATACAACTGTTAATAGAATAAAGCACATCAGATAATGTCTGTGGTTGTCTGCTGGTCTAACCTGGAGACCACAGGTTAGACCTGGGTGTCACCATTTTACTGTGTACAATCTGCAAAGAGAGGAGAGAGGGGACATGAACGATCTGTTTTCTCCCGTGAGTCTCTGGTTTGATGGGAAGAAGGGTTGAAAGTTCAGCTAAGGTACAGCGTGGGACGAGGCTCATCGTGATGAAGGTTTCCTTCTTGATGCCAGCAATGGGGGCACGTTAGCTGATGTCTACGGACAGAGTTCTTGCTGCATTGTTAAGTGTGGTGTGAGGAAACACTGAACAGGTAGGAAAAGAGAAGAAATGTCCTTTGACAAAAAGACTGATGCAGTCTCCAAATAATATTAATCCATAAGCTAAGAACAGTTTTCCTACCCAAACCAATGAAGGATATAATAATTGCATTTTAGCTTATTAGTGTCTGTCTGTCTGTCTGTCTGTGTATATTGAGGAGAGAAGCCATCCTCATGTGTTGTTCCTCAGACACCATCCACCTTGTTTTTAAAGACAGCATCTTTCACTGGGACCTGAGATTTGACAAATAGTCCAGTTTGTCTGGGCATTCAGCCCCAGAGATTCACTGTGTAGATTCCTCCTCACTGCTGGGATTACAGACACAGGATTTCTCTTCTCATCTGATTTTCACATGTTTGCTGGAGATCACACTCAGGTCCTTAAACACTTCATAGACAGAGCTATCTCTGTATCTAAAGTTACTGATCACTCCTATCATTGTCACCACTACCACCACCACCACCATCACTATCATCATTAAAGAATGGAATCTCATTGTTAGCTTGGTGTTAGAAGAGAATCTTAACTACCAGGTGAATGGTGTCTTTCAAATGAATCTCATCTGACCAGACAGCAAAAGCAACATGTAAGTCAAAATCAGTTTGAGGTCTTATTTCTTTCATCTAGTAACTTGTGACATGCATTTCTCTTAATGTCAAAATTCAAACATCTCTCACCACTTAATTTATTGTCACACCACCCGGGACTTACTTAGAGACAAAGTCATCTTTAACCTTAATAGCAAGAATGAAGCAAAGTAGGTAAGCAACATTCCTTGGGGCTCAAGTATTTTCAAGTGCTTTTTAAAAACAGCTCCTTAGTGTCTGGTTCCAATAATAAACACAGAGCCAACTTCCTGCCCTCTCTACAGTGTGAACTATTAGTCACTCACTCAGCCGTTCCCGGGCAGGGGTGGCAGCACCCCATCTCACTTGGATGAGTCTCTTGGGAGGCTCTGAAGCAAAATGCCAGGGAAAGAAGCTGTTCAAAAAGTGATTTTTTTTTGTCAGCATCCTTTGTGCAGCTCAGTGATGAGAGCAGATCCTAGTAGCTGAAGGGGGCAGTGGCTTAAGTAAGTGTGAGCAGTCAGAGCTTCCAAAGGCATTCGTCTTTTTCTACTGTGTTTGTTGTAGTGGATAATTTCTAAAAATTGAAATGACATTTTATTTACTTATGCACAAAATGCACACATACCCTGGCATACATGTGTAGGTCAGGGAAAGCTTTCAGGATTTGTCTCTCTCCTGCTCCCATTTGGTCCTGGAGATTAAACTCAGGTGGCCATACTTGGCAGTAGGAAATTTTGCCCACTAAGCCACCTCTCCAGGCTATGGTAACTGCGTGTTAAAAGACATCATTAAGATTTTACACCAATCAAAACTTTTCTCTGACTCTGAAAGGACCGTTGGCTCTCTCATATACTTGACTCCTCTGAAATATCTGGACTAAGCAAAGACTCCCCTAGACCCATGGCTTAGCAGGCAGATCAGCAATGCAGGGATATTTTTCTGGCAAAATTTATCTTTGAATTTACATCAGAGAAGTTGAAGGGAGGCTGGAGAGACGGTTCTGCAGTGAAGAGTGCTTGTGAGTCTTCCAGAGGACCAGGGGCTCAATTTCTGGCATCCACATAGTTGCCGACAGCCATCTATAACTTCAGGTCCAGGGGTTAGAGGATCCAATTCCTTCTTCCAGCCTTCACCTGCACTGAATGTACATGGTGAGCAGACATATAGACAAGAAAACACTCATACATATAAAATAAAAATAAATAAACTCTAAAACTGTAGTTGGGGAATGTAAAGATATAGACAGAGGACCCTCCTAACCCAGTTGGGAAATGATGACATCATAGAACGCGTGGAGAAGGGTAAGGGGGTGCTATTTGCAGGAACTGTCACATGGAAACCTTGCCACAATGGTAACTTAGGACCAGAGTAGGAAAACTACTTCCTATAAAGCAGAGGTTCTCAACCTGAGGGCGCAACCCCTTTGAGGGAGCCTTTTACAGGGCTCAAGTGTAAAACACAAATATTTACATTACGATTCATAACAGTAGGAAAATTACAGTTATGAAGTAGCAAGGAAACTTATGTTATAGTTGAAAATCACACAAGGAACTGTATTCAAGGGTCACAGCATCAGGAAGGTTGGGAGCCACAGCTGTAGGATTAGAATGCCTTTTGCTATCCCATCTCCTTCGTCTTCCTGTAGAATTTCTTAGTGTCTGCTACCTGGTGATGCAGACTAAACTGAGCAGTGAGGCTTCTCTTCCGCATTCCCACTACTGTTCCTTCTGCTACTGTATTTTACAGTTTGGCCACCATGTTTTCTGGGTCTTCCTGTCTCCTGTTGACAATATCTCTTATTCTTGATGACTTTTCCTCAGCCTGACATCTTTGTGTCACACAGCACTCTTCTAACTTCCAGGATGGCCTGTTGTGTGCTGTTCCAGGTCTTGATGGGTGGTTGAGTAATGGTGCTCTTTGAATGAGTAGTGGATGCTGAACTTTCAAATGAAAGCTACATCCCACCATGCTTCTATGCTTCTATTTAAAAGGTTGTTTAGAGCAACATTTTTTTTTTAACCTTAAGGAGTAACTTCACTGGGAAAACAATAGATTTTTGAGGCTTATGGAGGAACAATCAGTCAACAGACAGATAGATCTGCATCTTTTCAAAAGGCACCTCTATGGTGACCCCCTGTCACCTTGTCTTAGTACACCACTTGCCCACTAATTCTGGAACTCAGATGGACTGCACTGCAAGGTCTCGGATACATCTTTAGACCAAAGGTCGGGAAGCCTACTGGTTCTCTACGGGATGAGCTTCTCAAGAATAATAATGCTAGGAAAGCAAGATGCTCCCAGGCCCCAGTGGAGATGACATTAGCTGAAACACCCAACAAAGGGGAGAGAGAACCTGTGGAGACCATATATAGAGGTTAGGCAGGTCACCCAACTGAGGGATGGGGCCATCCACCCATCTCAAAAATTTTAACCCAGAATTTCTCCTGTCTAAAGGAAAGAGTGGAGCAGAGAAGAGACTGAAGGAAAGGCCATCCAGAGACTGACCTACCTGGGGACCCATCCTATATACAGACACCAAACCCAGACATTATTGCTGATGCCAAGAAGTGCTTGCTGACAGGATCCTGATATAGCTGTCTCCTGAGAGGCTCTGCCAGAGCCTGACAAATACAGAGGCAGATGCTTGTAGCCAACCATTGGACTGAGCATGGGGACCCCAATGGCAGAGTTAGGGAAATGAAGGGGTTTGCAACTCCATAGGAAGAACAACAATATCAACCAACCAGACGACCACCCCCCCACACACACAGAGCTCCCAGGGGCTAAACCACCAACCAAAGAGTACATATTGAGGGAGCCGTGGCTCCAGCTGCATATGTAGCCGAGGATAGCCTTATCTGGCATCACTGGAAGGAGATGCCTTTGGTACAGTGAAGGCTCGATGCCCCAGCATAGGGGAAGGCTAGGGCAGTGAGGTGGGAGTGGGTGGGTGAGTGGGGGGAGCACCCTCATAGAAGCAGGGGGAGAGGGAATGGGATAGGGGGTTTGCAGAGGAGAAACCGGGAAGGGAGATAACATTTGAAATGTAAATAAGTAAAATAACCAATAAAAAAAAAATTTAAAACCCTATGATTCAGTTCTAACTCTCGTAAAAGGTTATTGCTGACTTCATGAGACCTGCAGACACGAGGGCATCTGCCACTCCCCACAGCCTCTCTGTGACTCCGTGTCTCAGCTGCTTTGTTCTTATTTCTATGTTGTGTGGCAGTAAAGGGCTCCTCGGGAACAGCTAAAGTGACACACATTGGTTAGCCAGACAGTTTCATTTTAAGCTTATACGTTCTTTTCTTTATAATAGGACTCCTCTTAGAGCACAGAGTTGTCATATAGAAGATAAACAATCTTGAAAATTCTTGGAGAGAACCATCTTTCAACTGCTTTTGAAGGGAGATGAATGTGACTCTGTAAGAGAATCTGAGAAATTCTTTGTCTCTTCACGTATTTGGCTCTCTGTCTGGCTGTCTTACTTCTGAAACAGTTGGAGATACAAATATTAAGATGTCCTCAGTGAGAAATACTACCCCAACTTTAAAGGGTGTGGAGAGCTTTGGGGGCTGCTTGGCAGGAATCTGACATGGGCCAGGACAAAGAAGTGGGCTTCTGGGTCACTTGGAAGGAATCTGTCATTGGGCCCCAAAAGTTCTCCACAAAAGGGAAAAAAAAAGTTTCAAACATTTAGTAAAAGTTAATAGTGGCTAAATTTCTAAGTCTGCACTTGTGAAATTCAATGCTTCAACCTGCTAATTTGCCAAGGCATGATTTACTCACAGTTCATAAACACGTTTAAGTGCTCAGCAAGGAACACACAATCTTCTCCAAATTTACGAGAGAATGAAATATCAGTTCATTCAATGTATGGGAAGGACAGATTATTATGATGCATACATATCATATATGCACAATATAATATGCAATACAAGTAAATAATATACATTTGCCTGTTTTTTCAAAATGTGGATGGTTTGACTATATAGCCCCTGCTGTCCTGGAACTCACTCTGTAGACCAGGCTGGCCTCAAACTCTCAGGGATCTGCCTGCTTCTGCCTCCCAGGTGCTGGGATTAAAGGCATGTGCCACTATCCCCAGTTTATGATGTATATTTTTAAAGTGGACATTAGTGAAAGAGAGCTGGCGCATACCAAGACCATAACTAGAAGGGATGTCTCCTCCATGTTGGGAGCTTCTTACATTTGAATGTGGCAGTGGGATGGTTTGAGCACCTTTGGCGGAAGAGCTGACAACTGTTTCCATCCCGGGAGCTCTTTAGAGAGCTTTAAGTTCTTAAAGCCTGTGGATTAATATTGAAGATGAAATCTATACAGTTTCATGAGGGTAGAATGAAGACCCTGCAAAGAATGTAGATGTTAAGAATATGACAGCTGGTAATTTATACTTTTAAGGCAAAGGATCTGTCTTTGTTCAACAGAGAGTCTCAAGGCAGAGAATGAGGAATTTCCTCCCTAAAGAAAAACATATTTATTATTGGGAAAAAATGTCGGAAACCATATTAAGGTTGGAAGCTCCAGAAGAGTAGATGGGGCGGGATGGATGGCTCAGTAGGTATAATGCTTGCTGTGCAAGCCTTAGATCTCAGCGAGATCATTCTTAGCATCCATGAGAAGCCCTGGGTATGTCAGCTCAGGCCTGCAATTCTAGAGCTAGGAGGTGAGGCCGAGGGGTGGCGGAGACAGGCAGATCTTTAGGACTTGCTGGCCAATCATTCTAAACAGAACAGTGAGTTCTAGGTTCAGTAAGAGACGCTGTGGAAAGCAATAGAGTAAGATATCTGACATGAACTTGGTCTCTCTACACACATATGCACAGACAGGCACATGCGCGCACACACACACACACACACACACTTAAAAAATCAGAATAAAACAGCACCTAATCCTGTCAATCAAATAAAATTGCTGTTATATTAATACATGTCACATATTTTCTCCTATATAATTGACCAATTTTCTTTAATAAGGCATCATTCCTATTCAATGTGCTGTTTGAATCTGCTTTTTGTATTTTAATTCAAAAATATATCCTAAAGGAGATATTTCCCTGTGGAAAGAGGGTTTAAGATCATCTGGAACAGAGAAAGCATTAGAAAGACGGAAACTAGAAGCAGAGATACAGAAAACCAAAGATCTCTTCTGGTGTTCTTTGTCAGATAGGAATATGAATGTGGGCAAGGATGGGGTGAGCATAGATCTCATTTTTTTTTTATAATCAAAAGATCAAATTCCAGGGGTCAATAAATGCATCTCAAACCAAGTTCCTCATTCAGGCCCCTGGTTTTCTTCTCCTACAAGCTGGGAGCCTTTGAACATGCTTCGGGATATCTTTGAGTCTTTGACTCAAGAAAATTGAGTGAGCTAGACATGGCGGTGCACACCTTTAATCCCAACACTCAGGAGGGAGAGGCAGGCAGACCTCTGAGTTTGAGGCCAGCCTGATCTACAAAGTGAGTTCCAGAACAACTAGGACTATACAGAGAAGAAAACAAAACGAAAAAAGTAAAAGAAAATAAAAATTGAATAATTAGTATAGCGAGTCCAAGGTGCTTCATATACTGGAACTTATCCTAGTGATAAATGTGGGGAAGGAATTATTAACTGCAATTTTTACACAAATCCATAGAAAGGTCATAGGATTAATCTTCCCAGTATGTGGCACAGCTGACACACAAACCCAGATCTTCTTCCTTACTATGTTGGTGCTTCTTGTTCTTCACATGTGATGCAGAGCTACTGTTCCATTTCTTCCACTTCACGGTGTGTCCGGAAGATGCGTGACCCATCACCTTCGAAATACTGTCGAACATAGTGGGCGAAATTTTGTTCATGTCATCTCAGACAAGTCCAGTTTCAAGCTACCCACTTTAATACATGCCTGGATCGCTTGCCCACACTTCACAAATTACATGAGTGTGAGGACTCAGAGAAGCACACCCAGGGCAGCTGAGGGTGACCTTCAGCTCACCGGGCAGTCTTTGGTATGCTATGATTTCTCCTGTTTGCCTGTACAACCCTCTGTTGCTCCCCAGTGAAAGTTCATGTCAGTCTGTATGTTGATGACAGGCTTCAAACCTCAGCGAGCTCCAACACAGGCTGCTGCCATGTGGATGAAATAAACCACGCTCCACACTGCATCCAGACACTTTGAAGAAATGTGGGGTGACTTCTAAAAGATTGCCTTGGATAAATAAAGCTCCAGCTTGTACCTTTCCAGATGACCAGCCAAGAAGCCCCAGGTGCAAATGAATCAGCAGACGGGGCCCTCTCAGCTGAGACAGCACAGGGCCCATGTGTCCACAGACAGCTGGACAGTGGCTAGGCTCTTGGCTGGGCTAAGCTTCAGATGTGGCCTGGCTGGGGGGCTGATTCAGGGAGAAACACTGCTTCCCCCTGAGTCATGAGCCTGGCTTGGAACTTTGCAGGCTTCTGCTTAGGTAACTTGCCCAGTGTTCGTGGGCTTCTGCAGCTGACAGCTGAGTCCAACGTGGCGGGACAAGTAGTCCTCCAGAAGGATGGGGAGTGGTGGTGTGTGGCAATAGGGAGGTTGAGTTACTATTTAAAAGACTCAATCAATGCAGGGAAGTTTCCGAGAAAAATTTGAAATTCATCAGACGAACTGAAAAGCAGATAGAAACCAGAGGGGGATTTACCTGTGATAGAGAGCTCTTTCCACCAGGCATTTCATCATACAAGCCAGGCTTATGGAAGACCTTGGCCCACAGTCGTAGCAGTAAAACTAGCCAAACAACATAACAATAGCTAGGTGTGTGGTTTGTGACAAGGATGACAGGCAAAAGAGAAGCTCATTGGACCTTTACCTGATCAAGCCAGGAGTAACTCGTCTGTTTTTTTGTTTTTGGTGTGTGTGTGTGTGTGTGTGTGTGTATTTATTTATTTATTTATTTATATTTATTTAATATACAGCATTCTACCTGCATGTATGCCTGCAGGCCAGAAGAGAACATCAGATCTCATTATAGATGGCTGTGAGCCACCATGTTGTTGCTGGGAATTGAACTCAGGACTTCTGGAAGAACAGCTGGTGCTCTTAACCTCTGAGCCATCTCTCCAGCCCTGTCTCTTGTCTTTTAGTTGTATATAGTCTTGGGTAGGGTCAAGTTTGAAGTTTCTAGAATTTATATTGTTAGAGCCCAGACTTTCCAGACTGTGCTGCAATGAGCCTACAGATGTGGCCTCACCCACTGGAGCCTCTTTCTCCTCATAGTTACTGGAAAAGCTAACACTACTCTCACAAAGAGACAGATCTCAACTCCACCTCACCTCAGGGTCCATGGAAGCCTGACTTCGGTCACCTATTAACTCAGCCCTACTCCCCTATCCTGAGTCCCTGTGACCTCTGTCATGTAGCATAGGTCACACATTAACCAAGCTGCTTCCTCACAGTCCAGGATCCCGGTTACCCCCAAAACCTTTCAGAGTGAACGCTGGTCTTTATCTTCCAGGACTGATGCATCTCATTCTAGACCCCTGCCATACTGTTTACTGCTGTGTCAATACACCTGTCTCTTGAAGGAAATTTTATTCAGGACCTTTCTTTTGGATCCTCTCTCTCCTCCTCTGAAAACCTAACATATAGACAGACAATAGATGATTTCCTGGAGGCAGAGACTCCTCCATAATGTAGCAATTTTGAGTTATCATCCATACTAGGATGAGACTTTTGGTGATGCAGTAGCTTTTGAGTCACCACGCTCCTCAAGTAACTCAATAAATTCACAAATTCATTGGTTCACTAAGTTGAACGGATTATTTACTATTATTATTGTTATTATTATTATTATTATTAGTAGTAGTAGTATTTCGTCTCTTGGCTCATAGTATCTTGGATGAAAAGACATTTCTTTATGTTTTCCTAGAAGGATAATCAGTGTCAAATGTCTGCTGGCGACTGATATGGCTGGTTCCCTCTGTATGACATGGGGTGACTCGCAGCCTTGCTTTGGTGGCAGTTGCAGGGCTCCTCCTCCTGTGGGTGATAACACAGGCAGCAAGGCTGAGGGAAAGCCAGGATAGAACATTTCCAGGGGAAATCCTGATATGGCCGATTTCCCCTGTGTGGTAACAGGCTGACATGGCTTCAAGCTGTGGTGGCAGTCGTGCGGCTCTTGCTATGGGTGATAAGATGTGCAGCTGTGGTGTGACAAGAGAGGCCTTTGATGCCTACTTCACTAGACAAGATAGGCTGCCGTGGCTGGACAGTAAAGATAATTTAGTAGGACCCTGGGACTCTTTTGAGGTTGCTCGTGGCTTTGCTGGTGGGGCGTGATCTTTCTTGCTGATCTGGAGACTTAGAGGAGCATATAAATTGGGTTTATAAGTTCTAAGTGACCAAGAGGGTCTGTCTGAGACGAAGGAAAATCAGACACAAGGGACTTATCTGAGTCACCTGAGAACAAATACAGCAGAATTTGGGTTGAGCTGTGTTTCCTACAGGGGATAAATGAACAAAAAGACAAAGGCTGTGCTTGTGAGCCTCTGGAAGTTGTTAAAGCTCAGGCGACATCCGCCAAAAGTATGAAAGACAGAAAGAACTTTCCTTATGCACACTGTCCTGCTTCTGTGAAGATGGGGAGTCTTGCGCAGTGGGGATTACCTCAGCTACTTCCCTAAGGAGACGGCCAATGTTGCTTGCAGATGCAGCCTATGCAAGACAACCAGGAGATCACAAGTTGAAGTGTGGGGCTGTTGGTCCCTGGCTGGCATGTGGTGTACTTGGGCTTTGATGGATGCTGGAGTTGAGTATACCTTAATTCATAGCAGTAGCCAAAGAGTCCCAGAGCCGCTGGGCAGCGATAGACCAATGCGGAGCTAGAACACTGCTGATGGCAAGATTGTGCTGGACCGAGGAATAGGTGGCTATTTCCCCTGAACATATGCTGAACATTTCTTCCCTGAAGCTATGAGTGCCGAGTGGATATGTTCCCAGAACACACCCTGCATACTACCATAGGAGAGTTCTTTTTGGGGGTAGAAATTGAAGAGAATGTCTGGTTGGGTGAAATGAGACCCAGTAAGAATAGAGATTATTCACCTAGCTGAGGTCTCTACGACAGAGAAGTTAGAAGCCCCCATCTCTGTATTACCACTGTTATTTTCACTGAACAAATGATACATGTTTCAGAATCTTCTCATGCTCTAGTAGACCTTGCTTACTTATTGCTCTAACTGGTGGCGTGAATCTGGGAGAGCAGTGCCTAAAAATGAGACCAACTGAAGTCTCAGGCAAAAGCCAACTTCAGTCAGAGCATCAGACAATTTATACTCTGGGGGTTAAAAAGAATCCCCTGAGTTACAATCACAAGGACAAGCTGCACATGGCAAGAACATGGTCTTCCATAGAGACATATAAACAAATACCCAGCTGTAATGAATAATCTGAAGTAAACTCACTTCTCTCTCATATACCTGGGAGGAGCTTGAAAGCAGGCACCAAGAACTACCAGTGTTAGGGAGAAACAGTGTTAGGGAGTAAACTCTTGTTTACTTGGAGTTTTCTCATAAGGTTTTAGAAATCATTCATGGACCGTGTTCTTGCTAATTAAAAAAAAAAAACGCTACTTTTATTAATTCATATCCCTTCAGCTTCCAAGCCCCAGGACCAGTTTGTATTTGTTTGGGACAGATAGTGATTCAGAGACCCTGTTCATACTCTGAAAAAAGGGTTTTTATTATAGATTGATAGCCCCTGAGTAGTTTAAAGATTTCCTTTCTTCCTTCCTTCCTTCCTCTTCCTCCCCTCCCCTGTCCCTCCCCTCTTCCTCCTTCTCTCCCTCCTCCTCCTCCTCCTCCTCTTCCTTCTCCTTCCCCTCCTCCTTCCCCTCCTCTTCTTTCCCCTCTTCCTCCTCCTCCTTCTTCTACCTAAAAGTCAGTAGTTACAGGATTTAAACAAAGGTGCCACTGTGAGTAGGAGGGAAACAGTACAGAAAACAATTCAATTAAAAAACAAAAATCTCTATGCCATTGTTAGGCTACCTCATTATGAGTTGTTGGCCAGGAAAACCCCTGAGCCCTTCTCCTCATACTTGCTACTGGTGCTGCTTATACACAAGAACTTGGTGGCAGGGTCCCTAATGCTAACAACCCCATGTGCTGTGATTTTAGGACATGAAGAACAAGACTCAAGTGTTTTCCTGCTAACTAGAGTTTCCTAGTTCTCGAAGGCATCATGTGGCTGCTGGGATAAACCTGTCAATAATCCTGCTTGCTTGTGTACCCTTGTGTTAGCACTGTCAGCATCCCAAGCCAGATGTGCTGGTACCACAGCAGCACTGACACCTCTGATGGGATCCACATCACTCCACCGCAGGGATCTGGTATCTGAGATAGCCTCTAACTGGGTTGTCCATAGACACTGTTTTTTCTGTGGTTACAAAACTCAGGTCAGTTTGCTTTTTTTTTTTTTAATTTTTTTTTTATTTTTTTTTAAGGTTAGGAGAAGGTCCTCATTTAAAGGGCTCACCCGAGCCAAGTACTTGTCTTTAATCTCAGAATTTGGGAGGCAGAGGTGGGTGGATCTCTGAGTTCAAGGTCAGCCTATTTTACAGACTGAGTTTGGGACTACACAGAGGCTAAACAGAGAAACCACCTCAAACAAACAAACAAAACAACAACAAAAAGCAAAGCAAACAAACAAACAAACAAGCAAAAAAGAATAAGAAAAGGCTCACCTGTTTAGTACCCACCCAAGATGGTATTCCTTTAATTAACTCAGTGTCAACTGATTAGGAACATTAATTATGTTTAACACATAACAGTTCATAACCACAGGAGTGGCACTCCACTGTATCCATAGGCCGTGTCCATACCAAGGAAGTGAGGTTAACACAAGGGGCTCTGTATCACAAGATGGAGATGTTGGAGGCCATTTTAGAGTCTTATCAGGATTTTAATAGATATTAAGTAACCAACTATAGGGAGAAAATTGAACAACCCAAACGGTGTAAAACTTCATGGCAGAGAATCACCGATCCCACAGTGTTATAGGGAGGATCTCACTTCTCTTGAGTATTTGGAAAAGGTTAGATGAGTCTGGGTCAGTTGGGCTGTTGTAGAAATGGGAGAAGAAAGCCGGGTGGCCGCCAAAGGGGAACAAAGGCAGAGTGAGCCAACAGAGAGACAGGGGCTCAGAACTACAGCGGCAACACGGAACCAAGCAAACGCCTCTGGCTTGCCCAAGTATCCCAGATGCTTAGTTTCTGGAAGTGAGGTTGAGTGTTTGTATCATGAAAGGATGTAGACAGTTTTCCTAAAGATCCAGTGGCCAGAAAACAGAGGG